GGCAACTTGGGGGTGTGGGGGAGGACAGCCCTGAAGTGTGTAGGGGGAGGCTGACCAGCTACACTCAACATCCCAAGAAGGGTGAAAGTGCTTTAAGATGTCAGATTCTGTGTCTGGCCCATATAGATACCTCCAAGCTGTTTCCCTGATGAGTGACTTTAGAGTTGTGTGAGGTGCCACAGGAGAGGAGCTCCCAAAGACTGGAGTAGACTATTAGTGCATTCTTTTTTGTTTTTCTTTTTTTGGAGGCAGGGTCTTGCTCTGTATGCCAGACTGGAGTAGAGCGGTGTCATCATAGCTTACTGCAACCTCATACTCCTGGGCTTAAATGATCTTCCTGCGGCAGTCTCCCAAGTAGCTGGGACTACAGGTATGTGCCACCATGCCCAGCTAAGTTTTTCTATTTTTAGTAGAGACTGGGTCTTGCTCTTGCTCAGGCTGGTCTTGTGTTCCTGGCCTCAAGCAATCCACCCGCCTCGGCCTCCCAGAGTGCTAGGATTACAAGCGTGAGCCACAGCACCGGGCCTCTAATGCATGTTCAAGGTCTGATCTGAACCTAAAGCCTAAACCTCTCAAGACCATACTTTCCTCAGATGTCATTTTGGTAATGCCTTGTGTAAACTTACACAGTTTGTCATATAAATACTGTGTATATATAGGTTTGTTTGGTTCACTCACACACACACATACACACACTCATGGTGATTCTGGAAGAATAAACCTACAGTGTGTAAGAAGGGCAACCAGCTCTGGCCTGTAAGGCAAGGAAGCTGTTTTCTAGGCGTGGCTCTGTCAGTAGTCCCTGTTGCCCTTGGGTAAGTCCTTTTGTGTCTCTGGACCTCAGTTTCTTCATGAGGGGTTTGGTCTGAAAAGGAACTCTCAGAAAAGTTCTAGCTTTACCATTTCATGAATGCTGACTTCTCAGATTCTACTTCAATGGGCATGAGGGCAGCCAGTGAGGTTTCCAGCCAGTTCCCCTGACAGCAAAGGCACACAGATTTTCTGCCCTACAGAATCCAGCTAGTGTGAAATCTCCAGTGCAAGGGATAGATTCTAAGATCTCCTTTGGTTTCCTCATGCTACCTGGAACCAGAGGAGCCACATGGAGCTTCTCCATAGGGATCTGGCCCAGAGAAATGTGGCAAGCTTAGAAGCCCACTTCTGCTAAAGAAGCTGAGAGATGTCAGTCATGGAACCACAGGAATAGGCAAAGGCTTAAAACACCTCTTCTAGTTTGGGCAGCTGCTGCCCACAGACTTTGGAAAGTGTTTATCATAGGTATATTTTACTTAGGCTGGAGAAAGCAAGCTGGTATTAGATCTGCAGAATAACTTCTTATGAGGATGTTTAGGAACCTTGCAAAAGGCGAGATTTGATGGATGAGGACAGGAATAGCCAGGTCTTAGGGTCCACTCTCAAAAAAGGAAGAGGCCCCAGGAAGATCAGCCCCTAAACCAAACTGCTCACTTCATACCTCATGGGAGAAGCAATATCTAATATTTATTGGTGCTTCCTACGTGCCCGACATTCAGCATTTGTTGGGTGAAAAAAAGAATGAATAAATGAATGGATGAAAAACTAACTTTAGGGGCAGCGCCTGTGGCTCAGTGAGTAGGGCACTGGTTTCATATACCGAGGGTGGTGGGTTCAAACCCAGCGTTGTGGCGGGTGCCTGTAGTCCCAGTTACTTGGGAGGCTGAGGCAAGAGAATCACCTAAGCCCAAGAGCTGGAGGTTGCTGTAAGCTGTGACATCATGGCACTCTACCGAGGGTGATAAATTTTAATCTGTATATCCTGCATTCTGCCTCTCACATTCCCATAACTTACTCACAGAATCAAAGCAGAATCAAGAGTTAGTTAGCCAGGCACTTGGATATCTTTCTAGAATGTGAGTTCCCTGGGAGCAGGGACCTTGCTTATCCGGTTCATCACTGTACCCCAGTGCACAGGCCACTGACTGGCATATAGTAGGTGTTAAGTATTTTCTGAATATATGAATAAATCTAGCACTACCCCCTCATTATCCAAACAGAGATGAGGGCCGAAAGAGGCAGGGACCTGCCTGCCCCTGGTCAAAAAAGGAGTCATGGCAGACCAGTGGCAGGTCTCTAAAGTCTCCAGCCTCTTGGTCTGAGGTTCTTTCCCCTGGATTAAAGGGCCCCGTGGCAAACTCCTCCCACCCTCCCATACCCCTTCACAAGTTCCTCATTCTTGCCAATCCAAGTTCCCACTTTCCTTTCTCTTTGCCAGCTGGTTAATTAACCATTAGAAACAGAACCTATAATTGCTATCTCCCCTCCCCCAATGCACTTAAATTCCTTTCATTTGGGGCTCCTTGACCCTTGTCCTGGGTGGGGGCTGGTCTCCCCCTCAGCAGCCTCCCAAAGGTGGACCCAACTTAACAAGCATCAGCTAGGGCCCCAGCCCCATCCCCACCCTATACCCAATGGCCACCTGTACCCAAGGCTAGCAGGCTAGTGCTGACTCAGCTGGGGTGTCAGGGACTGTGATGTGCCCAGGCAGGACAGGGGGCCAGGCAGGCAGGCTACATTTCTAAGAGATTGATAGCAGGTGGCCAGATGGCCACTTATTCAGCAAAGCCCAATCCAGGATGGCAGCAGCTGGGCCTGGGTCTCTCCTTGGGTTCTTCAGCCCACCTTCACGCCCCTGCCTAAAGGGCACCAGATTATTCTCATCCCTGGTGCCTCAGGGCTCCAGGGAGATTATAATTGACCAATGCACTAAGTTCATAAGAACTGTGGCCTTCCAGCTTCATAAGGCCTGTCCCTTCAGGGAAACTGAGGCCTGGTGAGCATTTAATCAGTTTGTCTTCATGAGCTCTGGGTTCAGCCTGCAGAGGAAGCCAGGCAACCCCACCCTCACCTGGGAAGCATCCTCTATCCCTGACTCACCAGGAGCTTGAGCCCAGCTGGGACAGGAAGGAGAGCTGAGGGTGGAGCAATCTGAGGCCCTAATACTGAAGGCTCATACCTCCTACCTCCAGCAAGCTAGGTCTGGTCCCTCCCTGAAACAGACAGATGGGAAGGGAATGGGGAGTGGGGTGGGGTGGGGAGGGCTCCTGTTCAAGATCCCCAAGGAAGCATGCTCGCTCAGGCTATTGTAGACAGAAGTGGGTCACATCCTTCACTCTTGGGGAACTTCTGTTTGTTGACAAGTGGTGTGATAAAGGCCTGGGCTTCAATACTCATGCTCTTTGTTCCCCTAATGTGTGTTCTTACGCAGGTCGTAGCTCCTTGTAGAGTCTCAGTTTCTTCATGTCAAATATGAGTCAAATAATTTATCACCTACGACCCTCTAGGGCAGTTTATGAGACTCAATGAGATAGTGTGCAGTATTTCAAAAAGGAACAGGTTCTATGCATGTGAAGGGCACTATGGCAGAAGGAGCTACTATGCAGAACTATGTGGTCAGTATGGTGTAGGCACTGGACTGAACCAGTGCCAGCCATAGCACCCATGACAGGGCCAGTGGGAACAGCCAGTCACAAACCTTCTGGACTGTTCAGCAGACTGCCTCACACTTCCCTTTGCCTTCTCCCTCAGGTTATAACACCCCCACAGCTACTCCCAGGATGTCCTAGGAATTCCACCTCTCACCATTAGGATGAGAGAAGCTGGTATCCTAGGCTGGGTGGGAACCACTAGAGAACACTCAGTTGGAGAAGTGTGGGAAGGGCTCACTCAACCTGGGTCAGGCTCTACTTCAGTTAGAGACACTAATCTGCCCTGAAAGTGCTCTGGCTAGAGACCCCCAGCCCAGTGGGGCCCCACTCTGGGCAGGCAGTCAAGCACAGGCCCCATCTGATCCAGGCACTTCCTTTGGTTAATGAGAAACCAAATAAACAGCCTCTGCCCCAGCTGGCTAGGAGCACCCCAGCCCAGCCCTGCCCTGCCCCTGTACTAACCCAGCCTCCCTTCCCCCCACCCTGCAGGTCCTGTGGCTCTCCTCCACTTTCCTCCTCCACACACTCCCCACTTCCTTCATAGCTTTGGCTGCCCCTCGGCTGGTTCACTAGGGCTTCCTGCTCCGGCTCACTAACCAACCCTGCCTTTCCTTCTCCCCTGTTCTTCCTTTCCTCTATTGCCTTCTGACCCATTTTTAGCCTCTGGGACCTCACTTGTCCTCCTCCCAACATCTGTCTTGGCCATCTCCATAGAAAGTCCCCTCACAAGACTAGGAAGCTTCTCCAACATGGAAAAGGAAGATCCTAGGCCCTGCCAGTCTGTGTCTCTGCTATGGAAGGAAGGCCAAACCCTCTTCAGGACCCTCACCACACTCTGTGACCTGAGCGAGTTATTCATCAGCCTGTTGGGGGGAGATCAGCTGCTCAAGGCTGCTCTAGCTTAAGGGCATCAACTGCCAGCCACAAGCCCCCTAGTATGCCATGGCGGCCACTCTGGTATAGTCCAGACCTGAAAACAGAAGGAGGATTCTTCTGGTGGAGAGGAGAACTGGGCATCCTGTAGCACTCCAAATACTCAGTAGGCCAGTTCAGCTCTTGGGAAGTTATGTCGTTCCACCTCCAGGCATCCTGCAGCAGGGCAGGGCTGGGCCTGCCAGCAGGTCTCAGATCTAGCCCCAGTCAGGTGGTGGCAGTACTTGTGGACACACCCAGGTCCCCATGGGAATATCCCTTCCTCCATCAACCCTCTCTACCTGAGACTGGTGCCAGAATGGGCAAATGCCCATGGCATATGCCACAAACCTGACAGAATGGACAGGGAGAAATGGTCCCAGGCACCATGAAAACAGAACAAGAGAGCTCAGAAACCTAGGGCAGACGGGCAGGGAACAGGAGGAGGGAGGAGCATAAGGCATTTGAAACATGTTGCTCCACTAGGACAGCCACCCTCTTCCCATACTTGCCTCAGTCACCAGTGGTCTGGGCAGAGGAAAGAGCACACAGAGCACACACAGGCACACACACATGCATATACACTCCATTCCTCAACATCACGACACCATTTTACACCCATTTTCCATGTGGTTAATTTTTTTTTTTTTTAGTTCTCTTTTTTTTCTAAGAAAAAAAGCAACAAGAAAATAATTCAGAGTTTATACAAAACATCTTTACATTATTTTTTCCAAAAAGACTAGTATTTACACAAATGGCAACTGAAACAAAAGCAAAAAAACCCTTCCGACTGCCACCTGGAAGGGGCTGGCTGTTTTGCTCCCTCTCCCACCTGGCACTGGGGTGGGCAGCTGGCCAGGAGGCAGTGTGGAGGTGGATGGTGTAAGGCCCAGCTCCTTCCATGAGCACTCTGGGTGCCTGCAAGGCATACTCAAGAGGCAGTCTGTTAGCAGCCATGCTGGCAAGGAGCTAGGGTCAAAGTGCACGATGGGCTGGCCCAGCCCCAAGAAGCCTCTTCCTTTTTCCAGGCCCCAGCCCAAGACTGGGGGGCTAGCAGGAGCTGGGTTGGGTGAGAGGTACCCACCTGTGCTAGAGCCCAGAAAAGGAGCAGGCCACCTGGCCTTATACCCACTTAGGTCTCCTTCTTGGTCCTCTATTTCCCCACCAGGCCAAAGGATGCCACAGGTAGGGAGAGAACATGAGGGGGGATGGAGGGAACTCCCAGCTCTGCAGGGCAAATAGCCACCTGGGCACCTCACCTCCCTCCACCCCCATGAGGTCATCTGCCTGCAGTAGCTCTCCTGTTCCCCAGGCAACAGCCAATTAAGACATTAATTATCGTGAGAGTGAAGGAGGCAAGAGATGCCCAAGAATCTCACAAGGAAGGGATTCTTTTTTTGGTGGTAGGGTGGCAGCCACTACCCCATTGCCAGGATCAGCTCTGCAGAAGGAGAGTCAGGAGGGGGGTGGGACATCTTGCTCAGTGGCACTTGCTCTGTTCCCTCATGGGCAGAAATAGCCCAAGCCTGCCCCCCTACCCCCAAATACCAAGGAGTCTATAAAAGAAATGGCATCCTATACTTCCTGGCTGGCCACATCCTGCCCCAGGCCCTCTTATACTGGGGTAGGGCCAGGCTCAGACAGCCTGGGGAGTAGCTGCCTTTTACATTTTTCCATTTTTCTTCAAAAAACAGATGCAAATGAGTTGACAGCTAAAAAATGAACACAAAAGCATTAAAAACAGTGATGATAGTGGACAAGCAGTCCTAGGAAGGGGGAACAGGGGAAAAGAAGGGCAGGGCCAAGGGGCTACCTCCCTGCCTGTTGTCCATCAGCATCCAACCCTGCCCTCTAAGAAGGGGTACCCCCACAAAGCCCAGAGGCCTGAAAGAGGGGGAAGGCACAAGAGCATGGAGGAAGGGGGCACAAGTACCCCCCTCTGAAGCCCAGGGGGCAGGGAAAAAGGGGGATTATAAAAGCCAAGAAACTACAAAACTAAATACAAACGTGGGCACAGCTGGCAAGGGGAAGGGGCTTAGCGGTGAAAGGAGAGGTCGTATCCAGGCCGACTGTCCCTCAGGGGCCCAACGCCGCGCTGGGCACTCAGACCTTGTAGTAGATGTTCGCCGGGCTTTGGGGTGGCATCTCCTGGACGATGTAGACAGGGTGCCCGTAGTCCCCACTCACCTTCTCATAGTGGGGGCAATAGTTGTTCTCTGTAGTCCGTAAGGGGATGATGATGTCGCTGGGCTCAGTGCCTGCCGTGCCACTGCCCCCCTTGGGACTGGCCAGGGTACTGAGCGAGAGGGCAGCTGCCCGCTGCTGTGTGTGCTTGCGGTGTCGCTTGCGCAGCTTTAGTAGTAGAACTGTCAGGAAGATGATGATGAGCAGGAAGATGACACAACCAGCACCGACGGCTGCAAACAATGCCACCTTAGAGTTGAAGAAGTCATCAGGTTCCCCGCTGCCACCTCCACTTGCACCTGGGCCACTCTTCTCTTCCTGATTCACAGTCTCTGTAGAAGGGAAAGGGAGGAGAGGTCAGCCAGGGGCGTATGGCAGATCTCAGGCTGGGTCTGGCTTGTGTTTCTTCTAAGACAAGGCCTGAGAGGGTGATCGACAAATGGTGTCAACCCTCTGAGAAACACCTTATATACTCAACTCACCATGCTTGCCATCAGAGTCACCAAGGGGGCCTCGACCACTCGGGGCCTGAGTGGCTGTTTTGACAGTGTTTTCTGCCTCCTTGCTAGGCCGGCTAGTAGTCAGCTGCTCATGTGTCACAGCATTGGGATCTGAAGATGGGAAGAAGACAAATGAGAGGGAAGGATCCTGCCAGCATAGGTGCTCTTAATCATCTAGTGTGCCCCAAGAATGGCACTCTAATACTACTCCCCCCCACTCCCAACACATCCACACCCAATCAAGAATATCTGCTCCAAGGACATAAGTGGGGGGCCCTAAGAGGAAGCACTCACCTTGCCCAACCTTCATGATGATCTTCATGGTACGTGTACGGCACACACCTCCCTCCCTGTTCTCCAGCCCCTCCAGGCTCCCGTTCGATGTCGCTGCAGGGAAAGGTCAGAAAAGTCGGAGACCTCAGGAGTAGAGAAAGGTCTTCTAGCATCACCCAGGAACCCTAGTGCTGCCTCAGCCAACAGGGACAGAACTAGGAGTCGGGAGTGGCAAGTAGCTCCCACCTACCCACGAACACTGACTTTTCCCCCACCCACTAAGAACAGAAGAACCCAGCCCAGCCCAGCCCAGCCCAGGCCAAGAATTTTCCCTTTTCCCGTGGTCACTGATCCTCTATCAGACAGGCCTTGGACCCTCTTTTCTCTGTGGCAACAATAAGGCATTCCTTCTCATTGGGAGATGTTACTCAAAAGCAGAGCAATCAGAACTGGCAACAGGAGGGAATCCTGGAGTAGGAACCAGGAGAACTGGGTTGGAATCCCAACCCTGTCTCTTACTCCCTGCATGATCTAAAGCAAGAAGCCCTTTTATGTCATAGGGCTTCAATTTCCCGTGAAGAAAAGGTCTGAACAGCTAGTAACAAGCCAATTTGGTGAATGTTGGAGCCAGAATTCCAAGGCCAGGCTGGGAGGACAGGATGCCAGCCTCCAGAGGGTCAGATCAGGCAGGGCCTTAACTATTTCCAGTTGCATGGTACCACCTAGAACCCCCTACTGCTACAGGATAGGAAGACATTCTGCCCAGGGAGTGAGCCACAATAGGGGATAGGCAGGGACTCACAGGTGATGTAGTAATCATGGTACTTCTTGAACTCCAGGCCCATGTAATTGGGGCTGAACTCCTGGAACTTGATTGTAAAGCGGATTTCTTGTTCTGGCCTGTTGCAGGTGACCAGCACATTGGGGTCGAGCACGGTGCTGCAGGCAGCTGCCTGCTCAGGCCGTACTAGGTACAGCTTGTAGTACTCATAGGGCCGCCCTGCTTCTGCTCGGGGGCAGATGATGTCCAGCTTGTCTCCAATCTTTGGGTAGATCACCAAGCCCTTCCCACTCAGGAACCTATCCAGAAGGGAGAAGATGGTCAGCCTCAGGGCTTGGGGGTTCAAGGCTACCCCAGGACCAGGGGAGCAGACAAGGGCCAGACTGGGCCTACAGGGCAGAGATGGCAAGAGCAGGCCTTCTGCCCTTCCTCCATCCTTAGGTTGGGGGTGGGGAGAGAGAACCACTCTGCCAGTAGGGTGTGGAAGGGGTGGCCCATGGGCAAGGCTGCGAGGCTTTGAGTGCTTGGCAGGGTGGGGCACTGACTGGCTGGGGGAGCCCTTTGTCCTAATGCAGCATTTCCACAGGGGGCTGACGTGGCCAATGGGCTGGGTATCAAGATGTCAGACCCAAGCTGCCCGGAGGTGGTAGCCCTATCCCCCAGCCCACAACTCACATTACTTCTGACTGCTGCTATCTCCTCCCCTACATAACACACACAAGCCCACACATGTCTTAGCCACTACCTCTGCAGCTCCTAGCCAAAGGCTGAGGGAGCTTAACCTGTCTGGGATTGATGCCTTCTCCCCCATCTTGCTAATTGTGGGCATGATGGTGAGATAGTACAGGCATTCCCTGGAGCCAACAGTTGATGGGCACAATCTGGCCAGGTACAGCTCTGCACACCTCTCCCTGCTCCACTGCCCAGTGTCCTACCAGTGCCTTACCCCACCCCTATGATGCAAAAGCCTGATGTCCCAAACTTGACCAGTCTGACTCCTAAGAATAGAGGGAAAGGAGAAGGGGCCTAAACAGGGACAACAGATCACTTAAGATAGGGCTGCAGAAATCTCACTCATCTGTATTCTAACCCCTCATTTCCACACTGCTCCTGGGAGGGACAAAGGTCTTTTGAGCTGAGTTCATGTTCTAATCCAGAAGGCTAGGCACTAAGGGACATCAGAGAGGGCAGCTACCTAGGGCCACCTATTCATCTGACTCAGTCCTTTGCCTAAGCACATTGTCAGAGAGTGGTGCTCTGTTAGCTACTGCTGAGCCTGGGAAGACTGTTGCTAAGAGCAAGGCAGCATCATGGAGGAGAAAGAATACAAACTTTGGAATCAGATTCTAAAGTAAGGCCCTTACTAGGTCCGTACCTTGAACGAGCTCTCTGATCTCTCTGAGTTTCGTTTACCTCACTTACAGAGTAAGAGCCCCTACCTACCAGTACTGGAGAGGGGACAAGGTAGCACATGGAGAACACCTAGCACACAGTGGATCCTCAACATGTGTGACTCCTTCTTAGAAATAGTCTGCAAATAGGGAGATCAGATACTAACACTAAGTACCTATGAGCTCAGTCTTATTTCTAGGAGGGGACCTAGGAAGAGAAGATGCAGCCCCATCATTTGGATGGAGTCAGAAAAATAAATGGCCTATACTCTAGTGCTAGACCGCAACAGGCTCTCTGTAGGTTATGTGTGAGGACAGTGGCTCACACAGCAAATGCTGTAAGCAAGGAAAGGCAGAATACAGTTCATCTGACCAGCAGAGACAGAGATGGTTCCGCAGAAAAGGCAGGAGAAAAGTGGGTCCTGGGTGACAAATAAGAAGTCAATACACAGCAAGAGTGGACAGCAGTGGCTGGGACATGAAACCCAGGCCAGTGATTGGTCCAGCTTGGCTGAGAGTGGGGAAGGAGGAACAGAAGAAGAGGTGAAGATGATGATCTGGTGCCACACTGAGGTTCTGTCACCAATGGTATGAAACCCACCCCTAGCAGGAAGGACAATGGAAGGCTGAAGGCAGTGCTCAAAGAGAATGAAGCTAACTTGTGCAGCTACATGGTAAAGACCACTAGTTCATAACCACTATAACCATCTGAGAAGACAGTAGTTCCATTTCCTGAGGGCCTGTGACATGGTGGGCACAAGTATTAAAGGCTGACTGGGAGCTCTGGGAAAATGCCTTGTCAAAGCTATGTCCTCATCCAAGGGAGGGAAATGATACCTAAATAGGCAAGGAGGGGAATTGACTACGTGGATGAAGTAGATAAAGAAAAGCAGCACTCCTTCCTTGTCAGGTGAGGTTCTACCAAGCTGAGAGTTATCATCTTGATGTACAGGAGGATAAGAGCCAGAAGAAGATGGCCTCCCACCTTGGTACCTAACTATGTGGTTCTATGGGGGTCAGAAAGGAAGTAAGTATGGGATAGAAGCCTGCAGAAACATTTGAGAGGAAATACCCCCATCCTGTGCACCATACAAAGTCAGTAAGTTTCCCCAAAGCCTCTAGAATTCCCAAGGCATTTTTCAGTTTGTAATGCTTATGCTGGTTCTGACCAAATGGCAGGATTAGACAACTTCTAACATTTTAGAGCCAGAAAGAACGTTGGAGATCTACCAAGTCCAGGCCCCTCACATGAGGGACTGAATGATCAGATGAAAGTTCCCATTGAAGAGAAGGTCTCAAAGCTAATTCAAGGGGCCTAAACGTATCACATGGTAACCTCTAGAGGTCTAAGAGGCCCTAAAACTTTGGCTGAATCCTTGCACAGATGCACCTCAACACACACACACACACACAGAGTTACAGAGAAGGCATACAAAAGGAGATAAGCCAGCTCACCTTTCTAACCATTCAGCTCCACCTTACTCACCAGTGAGTCTTGTCTGTCCTGAGTGCAGTCTCCTACATCACCACCCCAGTTTCAGAGCCCTGAAATTGGAACAAGGCTTCTAGCTACTTGGGGTTCTACCTTAAACCCAGAGACACTGAGGACACAGATGCCTACATGGTGGGGAAGTGGGGAAAGAGGACTATTACTCCCAACACTCCTCAGACTTTCCTCAACCTCAGTGAACAGACTTCATAAATATTCATCAGTTCATTTGTGTAGCAGCTGGCAGAGGGAAACTCACCCTTCCCTAAAGTGTAGAAGGGAGAGGAAACTGATGAGAACTACCTTCCCTGACTCTGATCCCCCATACTGGTGCCTTCTTAGTGGCTACCCCACTGTGGGGAAAACTGTGTCATGGTCTGTGAAAAGCCCAAGTAGTAAGGACCCACAACGGGTGGGGATGTAGCCAGTGAGAGTGAAGCCCAAAGCCAGATAGAGCACAAGTCACACTTTACAGGTCTCTCTTCTTACTTACCAGGTTAGGAGGAGGAATAAGGGTAAGGGAGGAGGAGGAAGAGACTGTCTTCAAGTTAAACTCTTTATCCCCTATCTTACTACTTCCCCTCCATTATCAAGCCAAGCTTTCCTGCCTGGGGCCATCCTCAGACAATGCCCTTTTCTGGAAAATAAAGGGATTGACAAGGCCCAGCAGGAAGCCTCAAGCTGGTCTCCATGGTAACCCCTGAGGCTTTCCTTCCCTAGCCAGATAGCCCTGAGACCCCAATAAGCCATCCCAGGGAGTAAAAGGACTTGGGGGAGGCAACCTGAGCTAACCTAGCTCCTTGGGCCTGCCTCTTCCCCTCCACCCTAGCCCAAGTTGCTCTCTCAGCCTTCCTAGCAAGCTTATAAGAGCTTTGAGGTACCACCATGACTGCTAAAAAGAATCTTGGGATATGAAAAGCCCAAATGGCCTGACAACAGTAGCCTCTAAGGCCCTGGTCTGGTCAGAAACCAACTGAACCCTCCTTCTTTTGTCAAGATAAGCCTTTTTTTGCTCATACACATATGGTCATGGGGTGGGGGAGCCTACAGCTGGGAGGGTCATGCCCAGAAAGCAGCCCACATCCCACCAGGTCTATACTTCCTTCCCTCTCATGCTTCTCTCAGGCTCTAGCAACTTATAATCAGAGAGTGGCTGATGGGGAGGCTTGGTCCTAGGCCATGGAAATCTAAGATTGGTAGAAGACTCTAGCCACAGCCTTGATCCAGTGACCCACCACCACTGTACCTATACCCTCAGGGTGGCAACACCAATGGAGGACAGACCCCAAGCCAAAGCTCAAGTCTGCTCTCATCCCAGCTAGGGTGGGGAGCCCCCAAATTAAAGGCTCTTCTTTCACTCCCCGGGCTCCACCCAGCCCCCGAGGCAGCAGGAACAGGCCTGGCGTGTCCCAGCAGTGCCCGCCCAGGCGTGGGTGGGTAGGAACAGCAGCTGGGTCCTGGCACACACAGATCTGTCAGAGGCAAGGAAGCCAGGAGAGTCCCAGAGGAAATTACCCTCTCCTTCTATACTGAACTATGCCCTTCTGTCTGCCTCACCTGAGCAAAGCTAATAACCAATAGGGGTTTAAATCTCCTTTCCTATTGTTTGTTTTCTGTGGGGTCCCTGAAAAGAAGAGAAATTCCTAGCCTAGTATCCTAAAGAACCAAAGATGCTACTCAGAGCTTAGGGGGTGGGGGCAGGCAGTGAGTTGATTAGCTCTTGGAGGTAATCAAATGAGGAAGCTGTACTTCACTCCACGCAGGCAGGGCCTGAGTCACAAATACAGATGCAAGCAGACCTGTAAGGTGAGAGGGGAGCTCAGGGGCAGGGAGCTCAGGGTTTCTGAGCAGACCAGGGCCTTAGAGGCTGCTGTCATCAGGCCAATCAGGCTTTTCATATCCCAAACCCCACCTTGAATTCTGATCTCTCCTACACTCCAAGGCAGCAGAATAGTGTGGAATGAACAGCACATAGCACAGCTCTGTCCCCTTAGGCAAGTCACTAACTGACCTTAGAAAAGTCACTTCTTTTGTTTGGGCATATGCCTTCTTATCTGGAAAATGGGGCCAATACTACTTCCCTGGCTGGTGAGCATGTGATGAGATCACATATCAGAATGTGTTGTAAGGAGCAAGGCACTGTCTGGCTATTACTTAGCACACCAAACACAGCATCACAGAAGCAAAAAGCTGAAGAAGCTTACACTCTTGGCTGCTAGGACCCCGACCCCAAACCACAACTACAAAAACATAGCCAGCAGGAACTGCTACAGTCCACAGGCCAAAGAACTCAGAATGTGGCTAGTAAGAATTTTCCCACCTCAGCTCCCCTTATAGCCCCTAAAAAAAAGGTGGACTCTCCCCTAAACCTGGTGCTCCCATGGCAACCAGCAGCCACCTGGCTGGCTCATTCTACCCATAGTCCTAACCCCAGAAAACACAGTATCCTGGGCCTGCCCAGCCCCATTCAACTGAGCTGATGAGGGAACAGAGAGCCTAAGGGGAGAAAGGGAACCTTCAATTTAGTCCCTACTCCAGACTCACAAGTCCTTCCTACCCTTGTCTGGATGCCTTGCATGGGGGTGGGGAGGCAGGGCAACTTTAGGAGCTGCTGGGTTCTCATCACTCTTAGGTTCCCACCTGTGGCCAATCAGCCACAGAGTAGAAGAGGTCAGGTCCCCAGCCACCCCAGAAAGGGGCCCCCTTGAGCTGGCCTCCCCAGGACTGTGAGCTGGAACAGCTGTGCAGGGTTGGGGCCAATACTTTGGCTTGGAGCAGGCAAACATGGGTTGGGGTCTGCAGCTGCCCCCACCCATGCTTAAGTCAAGGGTCCTGGATGCCAAGCTGAATCCCTCAACTCCTCCCCCTTGTAGGGAAAGTTTGTAATGTGATCTCAGGCACATTCTCACTCCCTGGAAGTGGGGGAACCTGAATGGGGGGCAGAAAGGGGTCAGAACAGGACTGAGAGACTAAACTACAGCAGCTGGGCTTGGCTGAGGATCCAAGTGTGAGGCCTGCTGGCTACCCTAAGCTCCCCAGGGGAAGTGGCTGGGGGAGGGAGCCACTCTGGGACCATTTAGATCACAGCCCCCCACCCAGTGGAGCAAACACACAAACTCTGGTCCCTATCAAACTCTAGTGCAGTGGTTCTCAATCTGTGGGTTGCCACCCCTTTGTAACAATGAAAATATATCCTGCATATCAGATATTTACATTACAATTCATAACAGTAGCAAAACTACAGTTATGAAGTAGCAATGAAAATAATTTTATGGTTCGGGGGTCACCACAACACGAGGAACTGTATTAAAGGGTCGCGGCATTAGGAGGCATTTAGAAGGTTGAGAAGCACTGCTCTAGTGGGACCAAACCCATCCCCCCCATCTTGCACTCATCAGGCATATCTTACAGGAGGGGTCAAGGAGGCAGAAGCTCCAGCCACCTAGGGATTAGCACCCCAGAAGGCCCAGCACTAATTTGGGAAAGAGTCTGGGAGTTCTGAGCCAGCCCTTCCAGCTGCCCCTCCAATCAGGGCTGGGTTGCATGCACCCTGGAACCTGGAAGCAGACCCCCAGCCCCACCATTTCTTTACTTTGATTTTTTTTTCTTAAAGAGGAAGTAATTAAGTAAGGTTTATAGGTGCTGAGAGATTTTTTATTTTATTTTGCTGGGTGGGGGTTGTTGCCAGCTCCTGATAGACCTGAGGAGAGAGACCAAAAGCGGGGAGAGGAAGAGGGGAGGGAAGAAAGAAAATGAGCCTGAGAGGGAGAGCACGGGCATGTGAGAGAAACAAAAGGACTTGAGAAAAAGAGGCAGAGAGTGACTAAGAGTGAGAGGGAGTGTGAGAAAGAGGGAGAGCTTGCGGAGCCTCGCTGGAGAGGGGAGGTGAGCGCTGTTCGCTATTCGCTAGGATGTGAGGGCAAACCAACATGGGCCTGAGAGAGAGAACTCCAGCAGGAGGTAGAAAGGGAGAAAGGGAGAGAGAGAGAGACAGAGAGAGACACTGACTGTTTATTTGAAAGGCTGTGGCACCCCGAGGGCACGGTGGCAGAGGCAGCCCCAGAGCTGAAGTACAGCTGGGGGCAGCCCCTCCTTCCTGCCCTCTTGCCCCTCACCCTGAGCCAACACACACAAGCCTCTGGAGGCTGCATTCCAGACCCCTGAGCATAGATGGAACTGGGGGATGACACACACCAGGATCAGTCCCTGACCATTCCCAGGATCTGCCTGAATATAGGATGGAATTTGGACAGGTTCTACTGAGTCCTCAGCCACTCCCCACCCCCACCCAGGATGCGAATCCTCAGCTTGAGATGGATGGAGAAGAAGAGCAAAGAGTTACAACCTCCCCAGACATGTAAACCGGTCCAGAGCACTTAAGGCTCAGAATACAAAAAGGGGGAAGCTCAGACAGATCTTGTTTCTTCCACGCTCGCGCGCACACACACACACACACACCCCCCCCGCAACTCTGCAGGAGGGCTCCTTTCCAGCTGTGAAGCTGCATGCTATCTCTCGTTGGAGACCAGAGAGATCAATTAGGTCACTCCCATGAGCCCCTATGATGGGCTACCCCAGGAGAATTTCAACTATCCTGGCTCAAGAGAGCATCTCCATCCTTCACCCTTTGAGGGGGGGACTAAGCACTTCATAACCTCTCCCCCTAGGCTCAGCAGGGAGGAGAACTCCAGGCCATTTTGAGCCCCTGCTGTTAGCAGAGTGGGACACCTAGTTTGGCTTCTGAGTAGGGGAGAAATTCTTGCCAGTTCCTTTCCTTGTCCCCAGGCAGAACCCTCCCCCCCCCACCCTGGTTTAGCCATCCCACCAACCAGTAATAGGACCTTACCTTAACACAAGAAGAGAACTAAAGAATCTGCCTTTCCTACTCTCCCCAGCCCAAGGCTCACATACATTGTCCCTGGGACCCCAGAGGTCAAGGCAGGCAGGAACCTGGGAAGTTAGCAGGGAGTCAGCAAGGGTGGACAAGAAGAAATTTCAGATACAGGAATTGCAGAGCATGGATGGGGCAGGTCAAGGCCTTCCAGTTTCTCACTAAGTGGGGTTGTTTGCACATCACCAGAACCTCCAGAAAACAGGGAAGAAGAACAATTTAACCCTGGATTCCAACCTGACTCCTGGATGCCAAGAAAGAAAAAGGTCCAGAGGTCACCACAACAGCCCCAGCGACTCCCCACTAACAGCCCAGAAACCACTGAGCCACCGCCCTGAAAGGTGTATGTGTTGTTTAGAAGGAGGAGAGTTTTGAAGGGGAAGGAGAGGAAAAGAAAGGACCGTCTTTATATAGCTGCCCCCCTAGCTCCTTGAGGGAAAGCTAAGCACAGCTCCCTAATTTAGGGGACATAGAGTCAGGGACCAAGGGGACTTCCCTGAGCAGGAATCACTCGTTCCCCACCCACCTCCCTCACCCGATCAGCCGCCACTCTCCGCCTTGGGGGGCCCTTGAAGCTCAGCTGCCGGCTCCATTGGACCCCCGACGGACGCTGGATCAAACCCCCCACCCCCACCCCTCCGCCTCTCTCCACCCGCTGCCTTTGTGAGCCTGGGAGCAGCGCCCGCCTTTCTACCGCCCTAGCAGGGAGAGGGGGGGTGGTGGCAAGAAGAGATGGCAAAGAGAAAAGCCAGGGAGGCAAACAGGGAAGAAAGAGAAATGAAAATGGGAGAAGCTCGATAGGGGATGCAGGCGCCGCCAGCCGCCCCAAGAGCCGGGTCCTGCTCCACGATCCCTCCACAGCTAAGCAAACGAGGAACCTGTGTTCCAGCCTGTTCCCCACCCAAATCAAGCTCATCCCCAAAGAGGAAACGACCGCATTCCCAGAGGTTCTGGAGAGGCTGCGTTCTCGCCCCGACCCAGCTCTCCAGTGCGCTCGCGAGTGCCTGGACTCCCCAGCTCTGCCTGGTGCAATCATCTCGACTTGATCCGGGACATGCGGAGGTAAGGGCCGGGAAGCCCAGGAGTCACAGCCCATCCAAGTATCTGGACCCCATCCGCCGCACCCTGCCCCGCCTTCCCGTAGGAAAACATATTCAAAAAAGCCAGAACAAAATGAGGCGCCGCTCTTGTTCCAAAGACCTCCCCACACGCACTCAGGGGTGCGCAGCCTCACACCAAAGGAGTTCCTCCCACCTCCTGGAACCAGAGCAGATAAGTTACTCACTTGGGATTGAGGGAGCTCCAGGATACTGGCTCCAGGTTTTTGGCCAGCGGCGTGGCAAGCCGGCACAACGCCAGCACGACCATCGCCACAAGCCAGTTGCCGAGCCAATGCTGCCCAGGCCGGGCCATCTTCCCAGGGGCAGGCTGCACTTCGGGATCTCCTGGTGCCTCCTCAGCAAAGCTCGCCTCGCCTTCCCGTGCAGCGCTGCGTTCCAAACCTCTCAGGCGCCCATCCTCTGCAGCCGCCGGCCTTGAAGTGCTCCTCTCCCGCCGGCTTTGGTGTCGTTCTTCTCCGCCCAGCCGGCCAGGAGGATTCACTGGGCAGCCGTCCCCAACTGGGGCATGGGCTGCGGCCTCCAAGAGCTCGCTCCCCTGGCCTCTTCGCCGCCGCAGTAGGTGCGACGGGGGCTCTACGCCCCCGGGTGATCCCGCCCGATTCCGCTGGGCTCTCTGAGACTCTTCCAGACCGCGCTCCCTCTCCCCGACGGGAGGGCTCGGAGGCCGCCCCGACGCCTAGACCGTCAGGGGTTCGGTGTCTCTGGAAAGAAGTGGGAGTCTCCCCACAACACAAGCTCAGTCTCCGGGCTGTCGACTGGGCTGCCCCAGCACGGGCTCCGTTTCTCCGGGCCACACTGTGAATCCGGGCTGCTCGCCCCCCGACAGCTTCTACTTCAGCGCGGGCCCCGCTGAGTGTACTTAGAAGAGCCAGGAGACGCTGCCGAGAGAGCCAGAACCATTAGTTTGCGCCTCTGAAGCCTAGGCCGCGTAGCCCGGTAGCCGGGTCTCCGAGTCCTTGCTTCCCGGCGATTGAGCCGGAGGGTCTGCAGCCAGAGCGAGCCTCACACTACTCCCACTGCTGCCCAGCGCGCGTAGACTCTCACCTCTACCACTGAGCTGTCTACTCCCCTGCTCAGGCGAACGCAAGGCCAACCCTGCTTCTCTTAGCCAATAGCAAGCTTGGCGACGGGGTCCTTGCCCTGTACCACGCCCCCAGAGCAGGAAGGGGGCGGGGTTTCAGGGAGCTCTTAAGGACGCCCGCTCTCTATGGCACCAATCTGAGTGTGCCGCTCCGTGCGGTTGGGGTTGGGTCCACTTCAGTGCTGTTCCCAGAGCGCTCAGCCCGTGGGAAGTTGGCGCTTCTCAAGAGTTGCTGGCCTGCTCTCTTCCCTCACATCTGATCAACACCCCGGTCCACTGACCTGGGCCAAAGAGGCCCTATCCCAAGTACCCCGGGAAAGTACTTCCATTCTCTTTTTACATACAAGAACGCTGAAGTCCTGGTCTGTTTCCACCTCCATGTCAAGGACAGCCTATCTGTTCTCCATCCCATCTCCCATAGAGCTGTTGGTGGCCTTTCCTTCTTCTGCCCTCGAAATACACTGTCTGCTTGCACTTGGACCTGGAGTCCGGAACGTAAAAGTGGATAGCAGTCGGAGGTGAAGACTCAGGGAGGGTCAACTCTTGGGTCCAGTAGGGAAGGCGAGCTCTTCATCTCTGGGAACCAGGCCTTCGGAATGCCAGCTTTGAAGAGAAGCCGTGTGATATCCCAGGAGCACAGATTAAGAGTTTTATCTTGTCCGAAGGCGTGGGCAAGGCCCCAGGATAGGCAAGCGGGAATGAGAGGGCACCTTAATAAAGACAGACACCTCGAGGGCAAGAGAAAATGTGACAGAGCAGGAGCCTTTTGAAAAAGCAAAAGCTAGTATCCTGGTCCTAGCTGGACTCTAGCCTCTCCCGGCCTCGCCATCTGGGTCTTTGTCTCCCAGCCCTAGCCCATTCTCCCCGCCCCTCCTTGTCTCTTTGCTTATAACTTGGCTGGATCCCATGGCTCAGACACTCTGGGTCCGACCCACTCTCCTGGTCAGACCCCCGAAAACAGACCAACGTGCTAATGTCTCCCCCTACTGGTATTCCCGAGTATCGCAGGCGCCTGGGACAAACTAGGAGCTCCCACTCAGAGCGGGGCACACACAAGCCTGGTACACGCGCTTGAACAAGATCTAGGACAGGCATGGCCTTGGCAAGATCCATCACCCTATATGGGGAGGAAGGGAGAGACCTAGGAGGAAGGTCTGGGTTTGGGGTTGAGTTAGGATATAAAGTCTGCTGCTTCTCTATGGAGGTAATTAGATGAGCAACATTCCCCAAATGCCCTACCATTTACACACAGTTTCACGCCAGTTATTTTGTTTAACAGGTGACCAAAATACTGAGTTTCTTCACCAGATCCTCTGAAGTTCTCTGTGGCTATAGAGTAGAATTCTATTTGTGAAAAAATAAAAAGGGAGAAGCTGGGTCCCTCTTACCTCCAGATACAGAGCCTTGAGGGTGAGATGGCTCTGGGTAGAAAAGACAAGGGGCGGTTTAGGTTCTCTCCACTACCAGTGGCCCTGCGTTGAGGTGTAAGCAAAGAGAAGTGGGAAGAAAGAATAAGGTGTAAAGATACTCCAGTAGTCTTGCTCGGAGACTTGGAGTGCACATGAGGATGCCAAGACCTGAAAATAGAAAATGGCTTACTGCTGCTTACTGAGTGCCTGCTGTGCATCAGGAGCCATTTTAGGTGCTTTTCCTTTCACAACCCTTTGAGATGAGTTCTGCTATCCCCATTTCACATAAGGGTTTGGAAAGCTGACCAGTGGTATAAACACATTTTGACTCCTGGTGCATCTGCCTCCAAAGCCTATGCCCATTCCCCTGTATCACACTGACTTGCCACAGTTCCAGCCCCTCCTTGCTTACTTGTCTATTTGATTCATTCCTGGTTAAAAGCTGGTCCATGCCTGGAAAGCAACAACCTTCAGGATGGCCAAGATTCTACTTTTTACCCACAGTCCTTCAAGAGGTTACCAGGCCTGGGAAAGTTCATGTATGTTACTAGTCATAGCCCAAAGTTCTCAGCTAAGACCACCACTGTCAACCCCATAATCAGCCTCTGATTCTTCCTCCCCACAGCCAGTATGCCCAGTGCCCCTCAGAAGGAAAGCCCAAGACTGACTATGGGATGAGGAAAATGAGACTACACTGCCAGACTTGGGAAACCTGGAAAGACAGAAGCAATTCCTGAATGTGCGAACACCTAATCCTGGGTGGGGAGAGCAGCAGAGGAAATGAGGAGAGGACTCTATGTCCAGGCCTCCTCCACATGCTGGTTACCCTTGGTCACAGAACAGTCAGTCTTTCTGCCTCAATCAGCTCACATCAGCCACAGGGGCCTCCACAGCAGAGCAGATCTGAGCCTACTCCCTGCCACAGTGACTCCAGGCTCCCACCTTGGTGGGACCTCATATGTAGTGATTCAGGCTTTTGAGGTGGGGAAAATTGACTCCCGAGGGAAGCCTGAGAAGAACTTAGGATCTGTAGGGGATGGAGGCCCTCTCTTATCTAAGCCCTATCTACACCACTGGCAGACACCCATCTAAGCTTCCCAGGTCACTGTGTCACCACACACACATAGCTGTCAGGATTCAAGTCCACCAGTATTTTCTGAGCACTGCCTTGTGTTGGCCTCTGTGTGGGCCATCCCTGGTGGCCCAAAGAGGAACCCCACCAAGCTCTGCCTGCAAGGAGTCCCAAGCACTGAAACTAGTATAGTAGGCAGGACAACCTCTGGAAGTTGCAGGAAGCCTCTGGCAGTGTGTAACCCCCTGAGAGCTACAAACAGCTCTTATGAGCTCAGTTCCTACACCCATGGGCAATGGGAAAGTATAAACTTCGGAGCCATGAATTCCTCTGCTTTTCAGCTGTGTCTCCTTGGGAAAGTCACTTCACCACTGTGTGCCTTAATTACTTGTCTGTAACCTGGAGATCATTCCACATTCACAGACCTGTGCTGAAGGGCGAAAGAATACCCACCAGTGCTTACTAAATGGAAACTCTTATTCTTCCACAAAGACACTGTCATCCCCATTCACACATGTTCTTACTCATTTACACAGGCTTTATGTGCCCCACACAATTTTTAGCTCCTCTCCTACTTTCACACATTCATACATATTCACACACAAAATCTTGTTCTTTCTCACTTATCCATTCATTCAGCACCAGGTGTCAGGTCTGGGTCCTTCCCTCATAGAACTTAGAGTCTAGCCCCCGCCCCCTGCCATTTTATCGTGTTCACTGTCATCCATACACATATGAACATGCACTCACCTTCATTCCACTTCTGTGGCCTTTGTCCTTGACCTCTCCCTGCCTGTCCTGCACTCTGAGGCACTGAGGCACAGAGAGGTGAAGTGGTGAACTCATTCATCTAAGGGCACACAGGAAGTGGAAGAGTCAGAGTTCAAACCCACCTCATCTGGCTAAACAACTTGAACTTCTAATCATGATTCTACACTGATATCCCAGGAAATCACTCCTCCTGAAGAGGAGTGCGTGGCAAGGTGTGGACTTTGGTGAGTCAGCAGCCAAGCCAAAGCCAACACATGGAAAAGCAAACTGAAGGGTCAGGGAACAAGAATCCTAACTGAAGGCCCAGGGCAATGCCAACTGGGGCAACCAGTGAGGCTAGCAACCCTTTCTCTAGTGCAGTAATTTCTTGGCTGCCCCATGTCTGCTGCCTGTCCCCCCAGAACACCTCCAGTCTCTGTCTGCACTCCTCAAAGACATACACGCCTATTCTCTACAGGAAGAGGGAGAACTAGCATTTCTTGAACTCTTACTATATGCCAAGCACTGTGGCTGTGTGTTTTACCTGATGCTACATTATCTTTTTTTAGTTCTCTCAATATCTCTGAGGTTGATAGTAATAGACCTGTTTTAGAGATGAGAAAACTGAGGCTACAGGCTTAATCTGGATGCATGCCTTGCCCTTATCAACCTCAGCCTGCAAAGCCCTCTCTTGCTTACCCAGCTGATGGCCACTATCTCCTTCTCTCCTGTTCTTCCCTTCTGTTCCCACTTGCCTCAGCTGAGACCAGCTAGGGTCTATGCTTATCCCACATTTCCCTCCCTCCCCCATGAGTACTATGCTTTTCCCAAGTCACTATTTCTGCATCAGTCTCAGGACAAGCCCAAGGTAGGAGCTGAACCCTCCTATTCTTTCTCTTCCCCCCTTCTGGCTGCACCACACCCCAGGGCCACGTCAGATCTAGGCCCAGGTGGGTAAGATATAGAAATTTGGTTACACTAAGGCAATGACAATTTCCAGTGGCTGGGGAAGGAGGAGGTAGTCCCAAAGGCTAAAGGTTCAACCAGATTCTTTATCCCAAGCCCCTCCCTGTCCCTTCACAGCTGCCAACCTGGTTTATGGGTGTTTGTGTTAAGATCACCTTGATCTGCCAGGTGCTAGCCTGGGTCAGCCTGATAGCAGGATGACACCACAGATGGGAGGAGCCCCTCTCTGCTTGAGATGAGGCTGGTCCCCTTTCCTTTCTTTCTCTTTATCCTCCCTTCATACTCTTTTACTTCTACCCTGGTCTTATAGACATCTGTCCCTAGCCCTTATGACCCATATAGGCAATGGCCTTCCCACCTCCATCCCTGAAAAGAGCCAAAAACAGGGCATCTGAGAGCCAGAGCATGATTTGGTATGCATAGAAGCTGGATGAGGCTCTGAATGGCCGCTGGAATACTAGGTTCCTTGGTGGCTTCATCTCTGGAGATCCCTGCCCACCTGGGTTTCACTGATCTGAGCTCTGCTTCCTCTACCAGCACCCTCAGCCCAGCAGGAGGCAGCCTGGGGTGGGCAGCCTGCAGCACTCCCTCAAGCCGCCCTGCTAGTCCCTCAGTCTGGTTACCTAGGGAATGTGTAAGGAGGGCAGGCTGTTCATCATTATCAGGGGCTTAGGAATTCATGGATGGGGAGCAGCAGCTGTCCCCACCTGTCACTGGCCCCAGCCTAGCTGTCCATCTCAGCCACCAGTAGGCCTGGAGGAAGGTAATGCTGGCTGGTGAAATGGTATCTTTGCCCAGT